ATCATGTTGCCACAGCTGTTCATTTTTCACACAGCAGGTGGGAAACCTGCCCTGTTTGAATGGCTTGATGGAAAAGGCCAGTTGCTCCATAATAATTTACAACATGGGAAAGTGGGGGTTGCTTGTAGCCAGCACCAAGTTCCAGCCCAGAGCATCCAGACAGACACTTCAGATATTTTAAGCAAATACTGAAAGCTCTGGTTCAGTCTTTTCCTCTACACTATGGCAAAAGCAGACAATCCATTAATTGCACAGGCAGATGGCTATTAGGAAGTGTGTGAGAACTGGCTACACCACCACTGTGTAGGTGGAGCTGATTAGATGGATCTGAATCAAAAAATAATAAAAAAGAGAAAGATTTCCTACATTTCCTTTGCTGCATGGTGAGAAAAGCTTTTCCTGTGCGACTGCAGGAGAAGACAATTCAAAAATAACAGTAAAATTGCTTCTCACCTCCCCACTGAGTCATGTTACTAGCAACAGCATGTTGGGGCTTATATATGTAATTCCTTCACAGCTTCACTGCTGGGCAACAAGCACATGGGCACCAGGATGGGCACAGGAGGGCTTGGTGTTTCCTTCACGCAGGCTGGCACAGGTTAAACATGTAAAGAGACCCAGGCAGTTCCAGAGGTGCCATTGCTCTTCAGACTGCCTCCAAAAAATCCCCTCCCTATTCCTCTGCTGTCCAAGCTCTGCTTTACTCTGGGTAAAGGATCTTTGGAGCAACTTCACCATGGAGACCTCCCACCAAAACTAGGCAAAGCAAGGTTGTTGTATTTCAACAGGCCATTCCACCCACCAGCACAGATGACAAGGGCACCTGGCAGGCAGGAGACCTCCTTCAAATCCTCCAGGGCTGACCTGGGCACCTCTCCAGCGAGCAGCCCCAGGGACAGCATGGCTCTAGCTGGCCAGTTTGGTAGGAATTGTGCAAACTGGGAGTTTCCACTAGAAAGGTCAGTGGCTTCAAGCTCATCAACCAAATCAGAGAAGGCTGTAAAAACATGTCTGCTTGGACATCTTGCTAAACCAGGTGGTGGACTGGCAGAGTCATGGAATAATAGAATTGTTTCGGTTGGAAAAGAACTTTAAGGCCATTGAGTCCAACTGGTGCCACATCCACCACTAAACGGTGCCCCAAAGTGCCACATTTACATGGCTTTTCAATACCTCCCGGGATGGTGACTCCACCACTTCCCTGGGCAGCCTGTTCCAGTGCCTGACCACCCTTTTGGTGAATAAGTTTTTCCTAAAATCCAATCTAAACCTCCTCTGGCGCAACGTAAGACCATCTCCACCAATCACTGCTGGTCAGATCAGCAGCTTCTGCAAATCCTGGGTTTTGCCATGTACTTGCCCAGGGAAGTGGTGGAGTTACCACCCCTAGAAGTGTTCAAAAAACATGTAGATGTGGCACTTAGGGACATGGTTTAGTGGTGGACCTGGCAATGTTGGGTTAATGGTGGCACTTCATGATCTTAGAGGTCTTTTCCAACCTTAATGATTTATTTTACAGAACACCTGAGTGTCTTTGTCAGGAAAATGATTCCAGTAATGAAAAGGACACTCAAAGGTGGGTGTTGCAGCACCACTGAAACTATCTGATGAAAGAAATCCTCAGATATCTGGGTGCATATCTTCTGCCCTTCTAGTTGTTGCCTGCTGTATCCAATATATGTCACTTTTTCAGGACAGGGACTGTTTCTCCATAGTTTAGTGCAGCATTCAACACAACTAGAAAATAAGATCTATCTTTACAACTACAGGACAGATTGAAAATTGCTCTGAAGTAAACCAATCACACACACACAAAAAAGCAGATCTTTAAATTCTACCTCCCAAATTGTGTTTACAGATGCAAATCAATAGCACTGCAAGACACCAGTGCAGGGTTAAATCCTCACCCATAATGAAATTCATTAAGAAGCTGGAGACAAAATTGTCTGTGGAGCAGACACACCACCTGGGTGGTCAATCTGAAGGCACTTTCAAGCATTACTGTAAAAACCCTTTTCTAGGAAAAATCTTTAACTTCATACTGCTCTTGATAGAACGCTTCAATACAGTGCTTGGAACAACTCATTTTAAACGGGTGTTTTAGTATCACAAACAGAAGGACAGTTATTATTCGCCAGAGACACTCCATGTATAGCCCCCATCACTTCTGGCCGCCGAGGCTGACACTGTGGGAACAGTCTGCCCTCAAAAGGCCAAATACCAAAGTGCACCGAGTGGAGCCACTGGGCTGCCGCCCAAAGACCACGAGCACAGGGGCAGCTCTCCCCTGCATTCCTTTCCCCTCTGCCTCCTATTTCACATCACTTCCATCCTGATTCAAGAACAACTGAAACAATCAAGAGTAGACAGCCAGAGGAATATCACAAAATCAGTGTATCAGTCCGTGGACAGCCCAGTTGTCAACTTCCCTCGCAATTTGGCTATTTAGCTTTAAAAACAAACACGGTAGAAAAGTGGAGGAACAAACTTCTCCACTTCCAGGACTCCTGCTGCTTAGCTGCAGCACGGAGGTTCCCATTGTCATTACAGAAGCATGTGATTAATTCTGCAACAGGAATGACAGATGGACACAGGCACCAGCACAGTTCTCACAAAGGGTGTTGAAGTAATTACTTACAAAGGTGCCTCAAACAAGTGTGTAAAGCCTCACCCCCTCGCTGTTACTCATCTTACATTTCCTACTGTAAAGAAAGCTCATTTTTTTGCCACATGCCAGACTCCACAGTTAATTGAGATCAGGAAACCAGCAGGAGAGGAGCAGGTGAACGTTCTCTTTGGCACAGAGCAGCACTGGAAGTGGTTTCATGGTTCAACACCCGCTGCCGCCCTCCGAGGGGAGCTGTGGAACACCAACCACGCTCAAACGGAGCTGAAAATGATACAGGCAGCCCAGTCCGTGCGGTTAAGCCACGAGGCACGGAAATTATGGTAATTGGGGCTTGCAGGAATCCAAGGGGGCACATAAGGCCCGAGGAGGTACCCAGCGAGGGAGCAGCTGGTCCCCAGAGTAGCTTCCACAGAGGCAGAGTCACACGGGGCATTTCTGCTGTCAGTGGCCAGTTGTCAGCAGCAAGGGATGATACCTGGAGCTCCTCACATACACCTGGCACTGCCCCAACACAGGTTTTTGCTGTAGATGGACATGTATCTGTAGCACTGAGATCTGTTTCAGCTGCCCATGGGTGCGTGAGCACTGCAGGAGAGATCTGTAACCTCTGGTGTGAAAGGATGAAGGCGGAAGGCTGAGTTAAAAACCATTAACAATTTAAATAATGGGGAAGAAGAAAGACAATGCAAAGGGCAATGACCAGGTACCTTTTCCAAAGGGTGACACCACTGCAGTGCCAAAAGGCTGCCTGGACTCCAGTGAAGCACACACAAGACCACCAAGAGGCACATGAAGCATCTGGAACTTTGTTATTCCAGGCAACACACCCGGACATCTCCCACGTTCTGTAAAGGCAGACGTGGCTTGTTGTTTTGTTACATTTGATAACGATTTACAACCACAGTTCTGGGCTAAAATTGAAATGAGCAAACATTTTGTCAGGATTCTGCCCAATTTCTCTCTAATTTATGTGGGCAGTAGGCCTTTATGATGTCCTTAGCTAGTGACATTTCTCTGAATTTAAATGTCTGGATTTTGTGCACATGTTCTTGGCAAACCCAGAAGTGTCATGGGAACCATGACTGCTTTATAAAGAGATCTACTTTGGGATACCACAACTGAACAGAGATGAAGGGAACTACACAGTTACAGGAACACCCAGCTGATGATTCACAACATCCAAATAATGCTCCTGATTCATCCTTTCTGAAAACAGCCCAATTCAGCCTGGCACTACATGACCCTTCTTTCATGTGAAAATTACTGAAGGTGTTTTGTTTTTATCGCACAACTCCAAATATAAATCGATTCTTACCAAGAAAAAAAATTCTAAATATGTCAAGTTTTTACTCTTTCTTTCCAAATGTAAAATGTCAGAGGATACAAGTAACAATGAGTTACCCAAATTAAGCACAAAAAGAATGGAAAAAAAAATTCATTAAACCTCCCAAGCAGTTTCATTCAATCTGAGCAACATCAGTTGCTGCTGAAGTGGAACTGGAAATGTATTTTCAGTCAATCTTCTGCTTTCACATACGAGTTTTGTTGCACAGCTTATGCTGCTGAAACAGAACTGGAAATGCATTTTCAGTCAATCTTCTTCTTTCACATAGAAGTTTTGTTGCACAGCTTATACTCCAAAGACAGGTGCTGGGAAAAAAGCCAGTGAGTGACTACCACAATCAAAAAGCAAGCAGTGCTCACCTCTCAAATCAAACAATATGCAAGAAAACACATTTATCCAAACTTGGAGGTGAAAATGAAACATTAAGCTTACAATAATTCATGAAGACCCAATCTACACCGGTAGCATCTTGTCTAAACTCTAGTTCTATTGGGGTTTTCACAAAAAATTGCAGAACTATACACAAATGGGAGAAGTTTGCTGCAAATGACACCAGTTAACAGCTACTGACATGTTAAAGTATCCAAAGCACACAAGCTCAGGAGAGGTTTTGGTGAACACAACTAAGTGAAGACCATAAGTGATCCAGATTATGTCTTACAGCTCTCTGATAAAAGAGAGTTAAATGAACTATTTCTAAATTAATTTAATTTTCAAAAAATTCCAGAAAGTACCATTGCTTTTACAGCATTTCTGCGAGAGAAATTTGCAGGCGGAATTACATTTAAACATGTTCCAGTTGTACTCCCAAGGTGTCTACTGTCTATTTTTGTGATATTCCTAGAAGGGATTCCACACAAACCCCAAGTCTGACGTCTCAGTTGGAAAATAGCACAAAGCCTTTCCTGGAGGTCCAGTGATCTATTCAAGCCAGAAAGGGGTTGTTTACACTTCCCATATCTAAGTACTGCAGCAAACCACGTGTGTGCGTCATGTTACACAAGAATGAACATTATTCCAAACCCATCAGCTTCCAAATATTTCTTTATTGTTTTCACAACTCAAAAAAAGGATGATTCAAGGAGCCCTTGTCTTCGTGTTTGCCTTCAGTTCCCCTTTCAAAGTACAACATCTTCCTGAACACGTACTTAGCCAGCTTTCCCCTCTCTAGCTGCTTCTTGTTTTTCCTGCAGTAGCTCTTCTTCCTTCTTCTTGTAAAGCTTTAGAAGATACTCATCAGGCTCAATTCCTGCCTCCTGTAACTCTGACATGGCTTTCTCCAGCCGGTGCAAGGTACGGGCACTCTGCACCTTCCGAGCAGTGATGTACAACGTGAATTCCTTGAAGCCCATCAGTTTACAGGTATCCACCTCACAGATATTTTTAACCTCTTTGGTTTTGTCCACCTGGGGAAAGAAAACTAAACCTGACATTTTTTCCAGGTCTTCAATATTTACTTGGAAGTCAGTCAGCTGGTGGCTGAAGCCTATGGGGTCGTTTGGCACCACAAAAGCCCCCAGCACTAAGGGCTCTGCTGACGTCCTGCTCCGTCTGGCCAGGATCACCTTGTAGAGGTGGGATGGTACAGCTACATCATCCTTTCCAATTACCTGGTAAAAGGAAAGGTGTGTTACAAATGGAGATCACAGAATCATGGAATTGTTTAGTCTGGAAAAGACCTTTAAAATTATCAAGCCAAATCATTAACTCAGCACCACCAAGTCCACCACTAAACCATGTCCCTAAGCAGCACATTTACACTTTCCCTCTCTCTGGAGCCTCTCTCCTCTTTATAATAACTTACAGTGGAGTTGATTTGAAATGCATATTAGAACCTACATGATTTGGAAGTGTCAGATCAGGGACTTCTATTTTACTTTCTATCAGTTATTTTTTTCTATCTCTATTAGCCATACACAGGTACATAAAGTACATTCAGTGACTCAGTATCTTCTTGGAAGAGAAGTAGCCAAAGAAAATGCATTGATTTCTTCTATACATTCACTATGATTTAACTTAAGAGCTCGTACATTTGGGTTTTCTCTTGTGTCTCTCAGACCACAATCCAGGAATTTAAGTGAAATCCCAAGAGTGGAGGACTGGGACTCTGACTTAACATAAAATCCACTAAAAGCTCACACACGTACATACACAGTATATCCCCCACCTTGCTCAGGGATAAGTCCAAGAGAATACACCTATTGCTGACAAACATATTCTTTCTAGGAGTCAAAAAGAGATGCTTGTGCACACACTGCATTAGGTTGTTTTTTTTTTAATTCACTATTGCTGAACTGAATCTGTCACATTAACAGAGTACAACAGGCTCACACATGGAAAACCTGAGTTTTGCATAACCCTTCTATAAGCACCCTGTTCAAATTTTTATTTTTATTCTAATGGCAACAGAAGAAAAAGATGAAGATGTCTCACAAAAACTACAAAGGTATTTTATTTTATACATAAAATCCAGCAATTTGGTACTGTTTCCAGTATTTGCAATACCTGCAAAACCAGAGACTGCTTGTTTTGATTTTTTTGACAGCTTTTGTTAGACACAGTTAAAATACTGTGTCAGGGAAAGTAGGTACTTATTATACTGCCACAACTGATCACATTAATTGAAAGTATTTTACAAACTAATCCAGTGTTATCAGTTCAGACATGCCTTGTCCATTCATATATTCAGTACAACTCAATCACATAACAAACACTTCCAACAGACACTTTATTCTGAGAGTTTTAAGCCCTTCTCTAAAAGAAAATGTGTTTTTAAAACTAAACTTTGCCTGTGGCTACTGATCCAGGGGTCACATTAGTTTGTTTCAGTAGTTAACTTATTTCAGTTATGAATTCTTTCAGTGTTTGAAGTGTGTCTTCTACCTCTGTTGCCAGTTTTTTAAGTGACTGGTCTTTAAGTCTTCCTGGTCATACCAAAACTAGAGAAAGTACCTTCAGGAGAAATGGAAACCTCTGATAAAAGTTTTTTAATGTTTTGTGCAATAACACAGTAGAAACATTACTACTGCTTCTAGAAAATATGTGCACTTAGATTTCTTTACTGTGTTCCAAAATATTTTCCCTCTCCTTCCATAAACTAGGCTATTTAATGGCTTTGCTGCAGTATAAACTTTCCTGATCTTTTTGCCTTTTGGTTTTGGTTTCTTTTCCAAAAATGATCTTACTTATGCCACAACCTTCTCCCAAATAACACTGTCTAGACATCAGTCATTGAAACTGGTTATGTCAACTCTGCCTTCCCTTCCAGCAATGACAAGTGTCTTGATGGGGAAATTAGAGCTCCTGAGTGTCAAAGCACTTTGCATTTAGAATTCCATGTGGGTGAAACAAGCCACAGCTCCACAGCATAAATAATCAAAAATGACTGATGCACAGGTAATTCTAAAACACACTAAAACTGACAGTGCAACATAACTGTTGTATCTGGTGAGTTAAAACTGAATTACAAGATGGTGTTGGGAGTTTAACCTACCTGAGATCAGTGGCACTCGAACTGGGGAGTATATGCAACACATTGGGTTGAGAGAGAGGGAGCCAAGAAGTCTGAAAATCCCTGAGAGGGACAGGAGGGAGTTCATATTTCTGTGTTCACTCAGTGATAACACCGCCAAAGGCAGAAGGATGGAGCTCCTTTTCTCCTCTGGAGCAGGGTGCTTCCAGAGCCTACACTGCACTCCCACCCCCTGCACACTCCTAGGGTGGGGAGGAAGTGGAGGAAGAGGCTGTGCACAGCTGCAGAGCTCCCTGAAAGGGCTGCAGCCTCCTGAGAGAAGGCAGCAGTGAGACCAAATCCTGTTCCTCAGCTTCATCTGGGGCCAACAATCTCCTGACCTGCAGCATTCCTGAGCAGTATGGCCTTTTCCAGGCCTCTTCACATACTTTTTCCCACCATAAATACATACATACACATATAAATACAGGTCCTCCTTAGCTCAGCTCCCTCCCCCTCTCAACACCTCCCACACACACATCCACCTCCCAGCATCCTCGGGCTGGTGGATAAAAGACCAGAGGAAGGGCAAGCATGCAGATGGAGCTGCTACAAGAATCTCCAATTAGGGGGTACATGGCATATGTAAAACAAACAGGTGAATTTGTGTGCAGTGAGCAAGCAGAGGGAACTGGGGATTGAGTCTGAGGGCTGAGTGGGTGGATAGAAAGGCTGGGGAATGAATAGAGCTGCACACAGAAAAGTGAGGTATGAGATGAAAATGCTGAATGCCTGAAGTGGGTGTTAAGGGAAAACAGACCCTGTGCTTATGTAATATTATGCAAATATATATATTCTATGCAAAATAATGCACATTTATTCATAGTATCTGCAACTACAAAGGAGGGAGGGGAAGAAAGAAAATGAGGCCTAGTTCAAAATGAAGGAAGGGTCGGCCTTTTGAGAAATGTACCTCTAAATTCAACTCCATCCAGGCAATGGCCAGACATGTAATTTATGTACCACTTTAGTTCCACATAAGCTCTCTTCTGAGAATTTCAATAAAATTTAAGCAGTGTACAGTTTTTATACCAGTTCTCTGAACAGCAGTAAACTACTATTGCAATTACTTCACTGAGTGTTAATATGTTAAAGTGATTAAAATCAACTTGACCCTGTCATACAGCCAGTCCACAGGTGTCCCTTCCTTACTCAAAACAGGCTGGAGGAGAACACCATCAAAGGACAGTCCCTGATTGCTCTGATAGAGTAAATATGCATAACAAAGAATAAATATGGGTGGGTTTCTGCAGTTTAACACTTACGTGAACCATGCACAAGGGGCATCACCAACAATTTATGAAGTCAGTGTGACCCAACGATTTCTGTTAGAAAAGGAAATGCAGTACTGGAACACACCAAAATATTTCCATCATTACTCTCTGTAATATACCACAGTTTGCTTTTTTATGGGAGTAGACAGAGAAGCTGGAAATAACAGTTCTCATAGAGTTGCCCCCCTCTTCTCCCTTCAGCTCAGCTGCCAGGGAAAGAAGTGAAGTGTGATTCTGCAAAAGTGAAGTTTGGAATAGAAGCAATAGCTAGCAAAAACAAACTCCACAATCCCATTTCCTATTGCCACCTAGAGGATTTTCCTCCCTAACTTCAACAGTCTGAATCACTGGATCTGCACCATCCCACTTATCTCAGTGCCTGCCTAACAGAGGCAGAGAGCATATGCTCCTATTGTAGCAGAATGGAAAATGGGTTAAGATTATCCATGCACAGATGTTGACTTTGATTTGTGCTTGTCTATCCACAGGCAGCAGATGATCTTTCAGCAATCAATGCCTGAAACAGCTCTCTGTCCCAGCTGGAGGAGAGCAGCAGTTTTTAATAGTATCTGTGATTCCAAAAGAAATTTTGTGGACTAATACAAGCAAGAAAATACAGCAGTGGCCTGTTGAAATCACTGCTGTCCCACATGCTTTCACACCATACTGGTAACAGGTCACAAGAAAAATTTTTCTGCAATCATTTGAAAATTTCTATTTTGCTATTGCTATAAAATTTTGCTTAATCTTTCAAATTTTCAACAGTCTCATAACACGAAGAAAGAAAAAGCACTCAAGCTGAAAGCTTCTTTTTATAGCATTAAATATATTTCTTTCCCATCGTCATTTGGGAAACCAGTGTGAAATTTCAGATACTTTGCTGTCTCTATCAGCTCAATGTAAAAATGTGCATTGCCCTAACTTTTTGCAGCTGCTTGTTCCTTTTAATTTTGCTTTGTTTCTTTGGTGATCTGGTGCTAGCTGAAGCCCTACAACTGAAGTGGTGTCATCTAATAATGCAGCATTATAATAAAGTTATTTTCAGAACAGTGTTTATTATTTTTCTATTGTTATTGACATTTCACAAGTGTGTATCAATTTTTTATTCTTCTCAATGCCCAATTAAACCTAAACAGCTGCCATGAGGACAGGCCATTAAAATGTGTGCAATTCCTGACATTTAGAGATGTTTACACATTGCTAAAACAACAAACGTGTTGTTAAGCAGTTATAATACAAACTTACAGAGCTCACAGGGACAGATAAGGGCAAAGTAACATGATTTCTTAAAACAGAGAGATTTCAGTGAGCTTTGATAAATTTGGTTTCACAGCCAAGTCACTGAATGGGGACTGGTCTTAAGTTTGGCTTTCCCCGCAATTTTGGCCAAATACTGTTCTTGGTTCCAGCTTATAAAATTAGAGGAAGGAAAAATTTGATAATATCTATAGAGCCCTTAAATAACACAATATATAATGAAGACATTTGCTAAAGGCATCTAGGGTAAGTTTAAGCATCTGGATTAACCAATGCCACCTTCATGGTCATAGTCAGATAAATACAGGGCAAAGCAGTCCCTAAAAAAGTCAGTTTGGATTTTTTGAGATAGAAAACTCCATTCTTACAGGAATGGGAAAAAAGGAATATATGAAGTATAATGGCAGAACAGTTGAAACCACATGAGAAGAAAACAGAGTGTTACTATTACCAGAAATTTTAAACACACACAAATGTTATCGTATTTTCATTTTACACTGGGTTGGTTACAGCTTCTCAGAGTGGTAAGAAAATTGTCTTCTTCTGAAAGGGTACAGATCGTTTTTAA